TTTCTCAAATACATAATTTAAATGGTTTTGAACCCTATATATAATGTTAGAATATACTTCATATTTTGTTCTCGTAACTATGACACTAATCTTACTTTGGCTTTAGACTATTAAGTGGAACACATTGCGCCATTAATCAATCAAAATAGTCCAAAATCTACGGATTTGTACAACACCAAAATTTAATGATTCATGCAAGATGTCCCAATCTAAATGGGTAATGGTCCAATGTGATCAAATTAATAGTCAATGATAAAAAAATAAAAAAAAACTAAGATTATAAATTAAGTTTCTAAAATATTATTTTAAGAATTTAAAGAACACATAAAATACAATCAAAAGCATTACTCTAGGGGCATAATGCATAATTTATAAAACTTGAAGGGGGGTTCATGGCCCCCTTGGGCCACAGTCTAGCTCCGCCCATTTATGAAAGGGTATCCAAATAAAAAAATAGAAAATTTTATCAGTATCGGTGTATACTTTGAACTCTGACCTCACCACAATCAAATCAAAACAAGACCCCAATAATTGAACTATTAATTGAGCTTTTGAAGAGGCAGCTGCCATCTTTGCAATGGCATTGGCTCATCGTGTAGTGGTTTTTGGATGAAATTCAAATTCATTTTTGACGCCAAAGATACATTTTATATAATTTTTTGCTTCAATTGGAATTGTTTCGGTGGTGTGTAGTGGGGGTGGAGGTGGAAGTGGCGACAGTAATTTTATCGTTGAAGAGAAGAAGATAAGAAGATAACGAGGACAAGAGTGTCTTTTTGTTGCACCCGCCTTAAAAATGATAGCACTTAATTTTCATTCAAAATCACTTGAGGGTTATGTAAATACTCTAATCCCGACATAAGTAATCTGTCTTTGATCAGACTGAAGAAAAGATTAGTTAAATGACGTGTAAACTAACTCAAACACACACTAACCATTGAACCAAAAAATAAATAAATAAATAAATAAAATAAAATCATATCATCTCAAATGACTAGGAATCAAAATGAAGAAAATTAAATCCTTTGATTATCCTTTTTTCATTCTTCATATAAATCCATGATCCAAACAAAAAGGATAGCTTCAAGTACCTTCGTTTATGCTTTCTCACTGTACCACGAGCTCTGTCACATATCCATCATTGTGGACCCATTACTTCCCCACTCACACCCTGTCCCAATATAACATTTGTGAAGGATCAATAAATACACCCAACTTGATATTTACCATAATTCACCAAGACATATATTAATCTCACCTGAGGAAATATGTGAACAGCCAACTTGTTTGTTTCTCTCCCTCTTGTGAGGGCCGGGACCTACCGGTACTAGGGTTTAGGTCCGTCAACGAATGGGATTTGAATATGATTTTAGCCAACTCAAATCTGAATTTGATTTAGAAATGCCTATCTGAATCCTATTTGAATATGTGATGGAGTTTATATTTACGGTCCATATTTGAATATGTTGGAAGTTGAAAATTCGATCCGAATAACTTTATTAAAACTAAATATTACAGAATCAAATATGAATTTTAACTAACTTTCATTAAAAAATCACTCAAATTTATTATATATTTATTTATATGTACACATGATTTAGATCAAACCATATTCAGATCAAACATTGATATATCTTCTTTTTTTTTTTTGTTCAACGGTCAAGGGCATTTGATCCAGTTTACGATCACTTCGACTAATCCCTTAAAGACAGGTCATCCACGTCTAAACTAATATTTACATGAGGGATAAATTACTTATGACGCAGTCTCAAGGGATTTTCAAGGTTCAAATTCATAGTATCTGAGTTTACAGTTCGTCAATGTTATCACTTACGCTACCCCTTAGAGTTAACATTGATATATCAATATCCGAATCAATGAATTATTATATAGCCAATCAAAAATCCATTCATATCTAACTAATTGATTTTAGATTTGAATTAAATTTGGATCAAAACCCAATTTACTAACGCGTCAACCAGAGTTCAAAATTTAGAGGATCATGGAAAGGGAGAGAGAAATTATTATTCAACGGTTAAAATTTTGGTTTTCAAAAAGCCAAGTGGGCCACGGCTCCCCAAGCCCACCACATAGTTCCATCCATGGCATAGCAATTTTATCGAAATTTAATTTGTTGTTTTAATTTATTATAATTATTAGATTGATTGTGAACTTCATTAAACATGAAAATTTGGTGTTAATTTAATAATTATTATGAAACCCTATCATTAAGTTAAATTTTTAAATTTAAATAATATTACTCGTTCATAGTTTGGTTTTGTAATGATTCATATCGTAATATTTGATTTTTCTAAGAACACGCGGAGACACTAATGCCGGAGACAAGATTTTTGAAGGACATTTTTTGGCTGTCACTCCCCCCTACCTGTGGAATGCACTATACAAAGGTGACGAATCACTTGAGATGATTAGATGCCCATTTGGGTTAGGTGCTCCACTTGGTCTGACATGTCTGTGAAACCTTTAATTATCCAGGTTTTTCACTTGAAGGATCGTTTTTGTGATGATATATACTAAGTAAAGTACCTTTGGTATAAACACATTATTGCCTTAGTTATCTTGATCACCTCAAACTCAAATTTAATCGACACATGTAGTTAACACACATATATATATATATTCAAGGTTTACATTGCATCCGAGGTTGGTATTGTTCCCCATCACCAAAAGAAAGAGAATCAACGTGTCTTGAACGTTTCTCTATATGTTATGTCTATGAATTTTCTTATATAACTAGCAACGTCTAAGTCAATACGAAAAATCCTTAACTTCAATGCTTTTGGAGAGCATTTTATTACCGAAAATTAATTTTCATTACAGTACTCAGTATTCCAGTATGCAATGAGAGTGTGACTAATGTAAACTCTCAAACCAAATTATGAAAAAAAAAAAATGATTGTTTAGTATGGTATCAAAAACTTACTTTTTGATATTCTAGTCTTAATTTCATAACCTTTCTACACTCTTAAAGTTCTTGCGTTTCGAGTGTGAAGGAGCAAATTCTCCATGAATTCATGCTCTCATTTTACAAAATTTGCGAATTTCGAATAATTCACAATGTTATTTATATGCTTAGTTATTATTACTCAAATTTTAAATTGGGAAGTACTGACTCAAGTCTAAAGATACATATCAAACTAGAATAATAGTTATAAATTATAATTATTATTTTAGAACTTTATAATCAATATATATTTAAAAATTAAATAGTTTGTCTTATAGTTGTGCATGAAATTTTTATTTTTTATATTTTATTTATATTAAAATTTTATGCGTAGATATGTGTGTGTTTGTGTGTATATAATATAACACTCTTACTCTTAATTTTTTTTTTAATGTGGACATTTTTGCCTTATCACTCTCGTTTCAGCTCTATGTGATCTAGATTCTAGTAGTATATCAACACTTGCATTGATGGTGATATACCTTACATACATGCTTACGAATGTATGCTTATTCACTTGGTGGTAATTTAAGTAAATAAATTAAAAAAAAAGGAATCTCAAGAATTTGGATAATCCAACCACAGCAATTGGGTCAGACAAAGAGCAGGACGTGAGAACAATGAGTTGCATGCAAAGAGAGTTGGTGGATCTGCCACTTAATACTACATTAATGGACTCCTCTGTGTATGAGCTTACGCCATCATCTCTCTCTTATTTTTTGATGACTCAGATGCATTATTCAGTTCTCTACTACGTGTATTCCACTCTCTCTCTCTCTCTCTCTCTCTCTCTCTCTCTCTCTCGTCACCCTCAACCATGCCCAAAGAATATATATTTTATGTAAATGGATAAACAGATTTTACTTTAAAAAATGCTACACAATTCAAATAAACCCAAAAAAATACAATTCAAAAGTTTATCATCCCTTGAATGAGTGGGTGCTATTAAAAAATTAATGGAACGCATTTATCTAAAAGATGATACTCCATTCGTTCCTAAATATCTATTGTTTTACACAATTTTTTTTGTTTTATAATATCTGTCGTTTAATAAAACTAAAGGATAATTAATATTTTTTCTTCCAAATTTATCCTTAATTTTTCAATGCATTAGATTTGGTGGAGGTTAAGTGTCTTTCATATTTCTTTCTTTCCCAATACATATTGAATAAGGGTATTTTAGTCTTGTATAATTATTTTTTACTCATATTAGAGCTATTTAATAGTTTCTTTAATTCCTGTGCAAAAATCTTAAACGACAGATATTTAAGAACGGAAGGAGTATGTATTTAGGTTACAATTTTTTAAGTTTCATTTAAGTTGTGTAGCATTGCTGCTTTACATTTGTGCATTTCACCATATTCCATAGGAATTTGTTGCTTTGTTAGGCCAATATAGTTTCCTATACTNGAGTATGTATTTAGGTTACAATTTTTTAAGTTTCATTTAAGTTGTGTAGCATTGCTGTTTTACATTTGTGCATTTCACCATATTCCATAGGAATTTGTTGCTTTGTTAGGCCAATATAGTTTCCTATACTGCTAAGATTCTCACAACTTCACTAACTCGTTTAGAGATTAAATTAGGGTACAGAAAATTTATTTTTTAGTATAGTTTTAAGTATCTCACCTTTGTGTTTTTTTTTTGTTGTCTCTTCACAAAGTGAAATGAAAATTTTATTTTATTTTATTTTTTCACAATCAAAATGCCTCAAATAGCATCTCGACTATGGTATTGCGATAAAGTTGCTACATAGTAATCTGACTGTTAAGAGTTGGAGGCGTGGGCACAGATTTTATGCATGTAAAGGTAAAGAGCAATGCTACCCTGTAGTGACAGAAACTTCATACAATGAACCGCTCTTTTTTAATGTTTATAAATACCACTACGTCAAAATCTACATATCAAACTTTTTTTTAGTATGGTACAGCAATAATAACTTTTGTATCCTCAATTTACATAAGATGGGCACGCCCATGCCCTATAAATATAGGTGAGCACTTGTACAACCTTAGGGAGCAACAGAAGCATATCTCTTCTAGTGTTCTCTTTGTTCCCTTTCTTCCTCAAACCTTTCCTGAGAGAATCACACTTCTCTCTGAGAAAATGAAGACGCAAGGCTGCTGTGCCAGCTTTTTACAGAGCTCTAAACCCTACTTTGCCATGATCTCATTACAGTTCGGCTATGCCGGCATGAACATCATAACAAAAATTTCCCTTAACCACGGGATGAGCCACTACGTCCTAGTGGTTTATCGCCACGCCATTGCCACCGTGGTGATTGCCCCGTTCGCCTTCTTTTTCGAGAGGTAAGTAGTAAAACGAATACAAGGTCATTGTTGTTGTTCTTCTTCTTCTACTCGTACTGAATCAAGATGCAGAACTGACTTTGATAGTTTGATGTTTGTTCTATCACAGGAAAGACCAACCAAAGATAACATTCCCCATTTTCATGCAAATATTTGTTTTGGGCCTTCTTGGGTTAGTCTCTTGACAATCCCTTTTTCCTTTATAATAGGAAAAATCATGTTTTCTCATACTTTTCTTCCTTTCTTTTTTCTTCTTTTATGTGTTAAGCCACATATCATTCCAAAAATTTCAACCGTAAGAGAGTGTAACATAAATATCTATATACTTCGGTACAACACTGTATAACACAAATTTGTGCTATCTGATAGGCCGGTGATCGACCAAAACTTCTATTACGCCGGATTGAAACTTACATCCCCGACCTTCTCATGTGCTATGAGCAACATGCTCCCTGCCTTAACATTTGTCATGGCCATTATGTTCCGGTATGTTCATTATTTTACATCAATTTTTCTCAATTGTCTATTTTTTTCAGTCCATAAATTATAAAATCTTATGCCGAAAGAATAAACATATTACAACGATGCTCAAACACATTTTCTGAATTGCCACCATTTGTTTATCATCTTTGATAACTGAATTGTTTTGATTTGGTGGAATGTGAAGGATGGAAAAAGTTGACTTGAAGAAGGTAATATACCAAGCAAAGGTGGTAGGAACAGTTGTGACAGTGGCTGGGGCTATGTTGATGACCTTGTACAGGGGACCTATTGTGGAGCTGGTGTGGTCTAAATATGTCCATCCCAAGAAATCAAACCTGCCCGATACGACCAAAACCTCCGATAAGGACTGGCTCACCGGTTCCATCCTCCTCATCATCGCCACCGTCGCCTGGGCCTCTCTCTTCATTTTGCAGGTAAAGTATGTTAGAATTGACAACCCAAGAGAAGCCACACGTGAGGGGAGTATTCAGATGAATATTTGTGTTACACACTTTTCTATCATCTTTAAACTTTTAGAACAGTCGGTGATTTAACTAATTAAAGGAAAAGAAGTAATTGAAAACATAAGGTGAGGAGTGTTTGGTTGATTAGGGTTTGATTGAAATGTGACGTGAATATTTGTGTGCAGAAAGTGGCGTTGAAGACATATGAAAAGCATCATCTTTCTCTCACATCGTTGATATGCTTCATGGGAACCTTACAGTCTATTGTTGTCACCTTTGCCATGGAGCACAAAGCCTCTGCTTGGCACATTGGCTGGGACATGAACCTTCTTGCTGCAGCATATGCTGTAAAACTCTCTCTCCCTCTCTCTCTCTCTCTCTCCTGCTTTTAAACAACGGTAACAGTAGTTATGTAACAAACGTGGGGCGTAACAAATGTTACAGGNTCTCTCTCTCTCTCTCTCTCTCTCTCTCTCTCTCGCTCTCTCTCATGCTTTTAAACAACGGTAACAGTAGTTATGTAACAAACGTGGGGCGTAACAAATGTTACACGACGTAGAGGATGTTATTAATTGATAATAAATCTTTAGGGAATTAGACATATGGTTTTGACACGTTAAATAAACTAATCTTGCTTTATACTCCACTATAGGATATAGAAAAACAATAATTATTTTGTATTTCACTACATTTATGGGCATACATTCAATGTATAAATATTTTCAAATATAAATGGTGGATTATCTATAGAAAATTGATCAAAAACAAGAATCAATTTGTTTTCTAATCCCAAAAAAAGAATCACAAGCTTAACGGTCCTTTGTGGCATTTCGCTAGTTAGGAGTTGTTATGGTAGCATATCCTCAGTCGTCAGTTTTTTTTGAACGCCATATTGACTTGTAATGGGATCAGATTTTATCACCCTGTTATGTAATGGTCATTATGCACTGTGGTGACTACTTTTAATTCTCTCTCTCTCTCTCTCTCTAGTGCACTTTCATGGTTCGATTGAGTAACGTATTGATTTTTTATTTTTTTAACTTGGTACAGGGAATTGTGACATCAAGCATTTCATACTATGTCCAAGGACTGGTAATGAAAACTAAAGGACCGGTTTTTGCAACAGCTTTTAGCCCTTTGATGATGATCATTGTGGCTATTTTGGGCTCCTTCATCCTTGCAGAAAAGATCTATCTTGGAGGGTATGTTCTCTGCACTTCATATTCTTACTAATATGATTTTCATGATATGATAAAACTGCTTATATATTGGAGGGTAAGGTTATGTTATGTACGTCTGACCCACGCCATAATAGTGGGACAGTCTGACTATCATGATAATAGTAGTACTAACAAAAGTTCCCTTTTGTGATGCAGTGTTCTTGGAGCCATCTTGATTGTAGCAGGTCTCTACTCAGTTCTGTGGGGAAAGTACAAAGAAGAAAAAGAGACTATACTCCAAGACGAAATACCGGAAGCAATCAAGAGTTCCCAACTAAACAGTACTGCTACGATGGCCATAATTGGAGATATTGAAGCTAATGATGTTGAGTTGCAGAAAGCGGAAGCTAACAAGCTTTCTGTAGTTGCCATTAACTTACCAATCTCTGATCCTCCCACCAAAGCCAAGCAAGAAGCCTGAACCCAAGCAAAATTTGGACTTTTTTTTTTTTTTTTTAACTCTCTTTTGGCTTTTTTTTTTTCTTTTTTTTCCTTTTTCAAAACATGATAACGACAGTTTCGTGAGCTGAGTTGTCGTTAATATTCTCAGGGTTTTGTACTTATGCAACTAAGAGAATCCCAAAAAATGTCTTCCAAAGTTGGGTGGGTTTCCCACTGAATAGTGTGGGAATTGATTTTACATGAAGCAGAATTTGTGGAATATGATGCAGATTCCACTATATATACTAGTGGTTGAGTCTTTTGGGGTGTTTGATACTTCATGGATTTTGTTCCCAGAATCTTAATTGCACCCATTTTGCATCTGATTCCATTCTAACAAGATCTTAACAAGCAGAAAAGGCAACATATATCCAGCCTAACACAAAAATAACAGTATCTGTACTTAGCTCGGAGACTTAAATTGGAGCTGTTATTGGATTGATAAAACACATCATTCAATATTGAGATCCATTACTTATACAACGATAATGATGCATTAGGTTTCCAAAATAAATACTTACATTAGTTCGCAATAGCACTACTCATATCACAATGGGATACCAATTTGATACAATAGGAACCACATATAAGTTTAGAACAGAATGGGGAATTGAAGATAGGAAAATGCAGACAAACAAAAGTACAAAGACATACTTAATTCGGCACATTTTGTCTACATCCATGGACCAAATGTCTAATTGATGTATTATTCTTTAGTAATCATACATATAGAACTCGGTCCTATTGATGGATCTCTATAGGTTCTACTATATCTCTAATACTAGGAGAGTGCAATGTACTTGGGACACAACAGGAAAAGATTCCTATTTCATTGCTGTTCTCGACTATACTGATAGGTCTAAAAACCTTTGTAGTGGTTTTATCTCAAATGTAAATAAGTTGAGTTGGTTCAAACTGAACAATCGATTGTTTAAGTTTGATGAATTTTCTAAAGAGATTTGAATATATTCAAGTTTGACTTGTTTATCCTACGACTCAATCTCAAGCTAATCTCAATGTTCCTATGACAAATCAAGCTCGAGCATTTCTATTTTTTTATGATATTTAATATAAGATCAAAGTGAATTTGACAAAGCTTAATAAATTAAAGATTTTGAAAATCTGCTCTAACATGGTTTATAAGGATTTTTAAGAAGCGGTCTCTATATGATAATTCAAAAAATAATTAAGATATATACCATTTTTGAATTAAGAAAACATTTTATTCATCAATATCAGAACGAGCTAGTACCTACTTGCACGAATAATGAACTAGTAGTAAATTAGTTCAGTAAGTTAAATCCAAAAAAATTTACTCTTTTTTTTCAATAACATTTTCAAGATATACTAAAATTTGTTGCTTTTATTGCAAGTGTTATGTTAAAATAACATATCGAAATAATGTTTATGCCCTCGTAGATATTTTATTTTCCCTCTTTAAATAAATCTCTCTCTCTCTCTCTCCATGCATTAAGTAAATATTTCAATTAGTGAAAACTTTTTAAATAGAAAGTACACTAGAAATGGATTAAATGCATGACTGAAGTTTCTTAAGAATGGAACATTGCCCCCTGAAGGTCTGGTTTTCTCCCATAATCACAGATTTTCGTAAAAAAAAAAAGAGAGAGAGAGTGGTTGCAATGTGCCCCAAGTGGCTCACAACGTCTAAATTCCTGATGGTTAACACATCAAGTGCATGGCATATTTATGATCACACACTTATAGTAGAGGCAACCAAGTAGGGTCGGGAGAGAATATCTATAGACATACAAATAAATAAGCACCCAAAGAGAACAATGAGAGAACACCTTACTTTTGATTAGAATTTATCAATGTGACACAGACGCTCCATTTGAGAGTGTCACGGGTGACCATTGAAAACTAAACTCCAAGTAGTAAGTTTTAGTCAATTTTGTTACAGCCAAATGTTGGTACCTTGGCTGCCCAAAATCGATGCTTCAAACCGAAAGATGTGTCATTAGTCCAAGCCATGGTATCGATAAATCAGAAATGGTATAAAGCATCCATCTTCTCAAGCACAATATTCCATCCCACATTACTATTTCGTGTTTAAGTGGCCAAGTTGTTGCAACTAACTACTAGGGTTCTTTAGTTCTCATCACCTTTCACTTCTCAAGTCTCATGCACAGAATCATCATATTTCAAGTCATGATTGATTGACAAATCTCTATTGATTCTTATATGTATAAGTCATATTTGAATCTTTACTTTTTTTCGATCTTTAAAATGATTCTTTGCATCTTTTACAGTGTGAATGCTAGTAGAATAACTAAGTGAAAATGAAAAGCGTAGAACTGTTTTGTTGCGAAAAAGGAAAGAAGGGAGAGTAAATCCATCCTGTCCATTGAAATCAAATCAGTTACATGATGTGAGAGAAAAAAAAATAAAAGTAAAGGTTAATTACACTTTGCCCCCTTAAATTATGACTCTAATCTCATTTTGCTCCTTAAACTATTGATTCCAATACATTTTTCTTTTAAACTATTAAATACTAAAAGCTTCATACAAATTATCATTAAATTTGCACTTAAAAAAGCCCATGTGTTAGTCGCATAGATTATTTCTCTCTCTCTCTCTCTCTCTCTCTCTTGGTTTTCAACGTGTTTGATGTCCTTTAACTGGACATCAATTTACTTGTTCCTCGCCCACTTGTATTGGTCATCTACTAGGATCCTACTGTAATTTTCTTGTGCATGCTGTCTCACTAACATCAATTCATGGCACTTCAGCCGAGATGGATCAGCATATTCATGGCATGAACAAAATGTAGTTGGAATTGATATCATGACTACTTGTGGAGTACAGATAATTCACCAATGTCAGCGTATTTATATCTGTTTTCACATTGTACCACAAATACATCATGGATATTGTAAAACATATTTTCTTAAATTTGAACACATATAGAATACGCGGGGAGAACTAAATACTCGATTTTCAATTTTAAAATGGGGTCCTTGAAGTAAATTGAATAAGTATTTTTCGAAACAAAAATATGGGAGTTCTTGGGCTTGAAAATTGTAATTATAATTTAATCTCAATGATTGATCTCTACAGTCTGTCACTTATTGAACAAGACCCCTTTATAACAAGATATTTCTATGGTATTTTGATATTTTATTCATCTATAAAGTTAAAGTAAGAGACCAACTTCAATATCATGTAAAAATTTGTTGTATATTTGATGTCTCGCATGAGTTTTCCATTGAAATGCCTAAATACTAAAGTTTTATTATTTTTTATAATTCATTAGCTCTGTTCATGGATCCATTCTAAGACTGCAAATGACACTATTCTTAAAGTGATAGCTCTTACTCATTCAGATAGGATCTTACCCTCCGAATTGGCGCTCAACCCCTAAGAGGTCTTTTGCTCTTGAAAACTGCTACCACCTAACTTATACATGGGCATTGTGTCATAAAGCCCGGGATAAGACAGTGAGGACAGCTCTTCGTCTTCTCCGTGAGCTTAACTGAACCTATCCATTGTGAAAAAACATCTTTCTTCGCTTTCATCCCTTTTCTATTTGTATAAAAAAAAAAGTTTGTATGCACCAACATTCGTTATTTTCCATTACTTATCAATAAATAATAAATATATATTGAAATTTGTCATGTTCGCAGTACAATATAGATAATAAATAGGGTAAATCCCATATTTTCTCTTGAAAGATACAAAAATTCTCAATTTATCGCTCGAATGATTAATTTTTTCATATTATCCCTCGAAAAAATAAAAAACATTATAATGTGGTCCACCTTCTTACATCCGTTTGATCATTCATCTGTTTTGTGATTTCTGATTAGTTGATGTGGCACAAAACAGACGAACAATCAAACAAAAATAAGACGATAGACCAAATTGCAATATTTTTATTTCTATAACGAGGCAATGTTAAAAAATTAGTCATTCGAGAGCAAACTAAAAGATGCTTCTTTCTGTATCTATTGATTCAACCATGCTGCTTACTACTCATCAAAGCCAAGGGTGGCATCAAATCATCATTCTAGGGTAGAGGTTGTTATGTTTACATTATGTTACCTAGCTAAACCCGCCATCTCGTGTGCCAATATCAAAGCGATGTTCTTCCTTCCCACATCCAACTCATTTACACTTTGTCGTATCGTTATATATGTATTATATTGTGTTGTACACATATATTATATATGCGCTTAGCTACCTCTAATTCTCCACAAAACTGTAGTACCCTTATGTTTTAAAGGTTTCTTGTATCGATAAGAAAGACTCAAATATGAGATAAACANCTGTCACTTATTGAACAAGACCCCTTTATAACAAGATATTTCTATGGTATTTTGATATTTTATTCATCTATAAAGTTAAAGTAAGAGACCAACTTCAATATCATGTAAAAATTTGTTGTATATTTGATGTCTCGCATGAGTTTTCCATTGAAATGCCTAAATACTAAAGTTTTATTATTTTTTATAATTCATTAGCTCTGTTCATGGATCCATTCTAAGACTGCAAATAACACTATTCTTAAAGTGATAGCTCTTACTCATTCAGATAGGATCTTACCCTCCGAATTGGCGCTCAACCCCTAAGAGGTCTTTTGCTCTTGAAAACTGCTACCACCTAACTTATACATGGGCATTTTGTCATAAAGCCCGGGATAAGACAGTGAGGACAGCTCTTCGTCTTCTCCGTGAGCTTAACTGAACCTATCCATTGTGAAAAAACATCTTTCTTCGCTTTCATCCCTTTTCTATTTGTATAAAAAAAAAAGTTTGTATGCACCAACATTCGTTATTTTCCATTACTTATCAATAAATAATAAATATATATTGAAATTTGTCATGTTCGCAGTACAATATAGATAATAAATAGGGTAAATCCCATATTTTCTCTTGAAAGATACAAAAATTCTCAATTTATCGCTCGAATGATTAATTTTTTCATATTATCCCTCGAAAAAATAAAAAACATTATAATGTGGTCCACCTTCTTACATCCGTTTGATCATTCATCTGT